CAGGGCAGGTGGGGACCCACTCCTTGAAGGAGGGAGGGGGTATGGGTGCTAAAGGAAGAGGAGATCAGGGCCACTGTTGAAGCAGGAAGGAGCATCAGTGAGGGAAGAGCACCCACAAAATGCCCAAGGCCAAGAAGCAGTGGCGACAAAGGAGAAAATAAACCAATGGGATTTTAGAGTTCCCGCTGCAAAAGCCAAGGCTAAATCTTAGAGGTCTTTTATTTATTTATTTTTTTTAAGATTTGTTTATTTATTTATTTGAAAGGCAGAGTTGCAGACACAGAGGGGGAGAGACAGAGAGAAAGGTTTTCCATCTGCTGGTTTACCCCCAAACAGCTGCAAATGGCCACAGCTGGAGCCTGGAGCTCCTTCCGGGTCTCCCACATGGATGCAGGGGCCCAAGGACTTGGACCATCTTCTGCTTTCCCAGGCCACAGCAGAGAGCTGGATAGGAAGTGGAGCAGCTGAGACTTGAACCGGCACCCATATGGGATACTGGCACCACAAGCAGTGGCTTTACCCACTACGCCATAGCGCTGGCCTCTCTCAGAGGATCTTAACCTTCAGTTTGAGACATTCGTGTCCAGCCTGCTGGTCAGCGAGGAGTAACTGAGGCAGGGGAGTGAAACGCGGAAGTTATGCTTTAAGATGATTACTTCAGCAGGTGCACACAGAACTGAGCAGAAAGAGGCTGTAGGTGGGGAGACCACGTAGGATGCTGAGCTTGGTCTAATCTTTGCAGGAGGAGGCATGGCCTCAGCTGGAGATAGCAAGAGCAAGAGAGAGGAAGACAGTATCAAGAGACAATTTGAAGCAGAAATCTACAGCTCACTGCTCAAAATTTGGTCTAGGACCAAAGCAGGATCCATGACCTCGTTAGAAATACGATTCCAGAGGCCCCACCCGGACCCACAGAACCAGGTTCTGCATTTGACCAAGAGCCTGGGCTAGCTGGACACACAGCCAGGCAAGAGAAGCAGGGCGCTGAGCACCCAGGCCTGGCATCTGACTAAGTGCAGGGAGTGGAGTGGGAGAAGATCTTAAGGTAAAGTCAGATGTTCTTCGATCGAGTCCTAGTTTCTACCTGATTGGTGGTCAGAATAAGTTTGCATTGAGGCTAAATGGACCGGGCTAATGACCAACGCCAACTTATGGGTCCCGAGGATGGTGGCTAGAGCAAAGTAAGCCAGCTTTGCTCACTGTATCTTTATTCCAAATTAATGTTCAGTGGGGCCACTTAAATCACATTATGTACGAACTCCTGTCAAATGGAGAAATGACAATATTTCCCAAATCTTGTATGAAAAACATCCAAATTAATTGAACAAATGTTTTTTTTGCCAATGACAATGATGATAGTGATACTAACCACAGCATATTCTACCTTGTTTGTAGTGTTTACTCTGCCCCACTAAATAAATTACTTCTATGCAGATCAATAGTACTATGCCAGGGGTCAGCACTGTAGCTTACTGGGCTGGGCCTCAGCCTGAGGCATCAGCATCCCATATAGGCACTGGTTCATGTCCTGGCTGCTCCTTTTCCAATCCAGTTCTCTGCCATGGCCTGGGAAAGCAGCAGAAGATGGTTCAAGTGCTTAGGCTTCTGTACCCGCATGGGAGACCTGGAAGAAGCTCCTGGTTTCTGGTTTTGGATTGGCCCAGCTTATGCCATTGCAACCATTTGGGGAGTGAACCAGCGTGTGGAAGACCTTTCTCTCTGTCTCTCCCTCTTTCTGTCCGTAACTCTACCTTTCAAATAAATAAATAAAACCTTTAAAAAAAAGTATTATGCCTGCCAAAAGTTGTTCTTATCGGTAATAGGTATTTACCCCCTTTGTATTACATAATTCATCTATTTGTCTTTCTTCCTCAACAGATTTTCCCAGTACCTAAAATAAGGCCTTACAATTAGTAGGAAATTATTGATATTTAAACTTTTAAAATTTATTTTCATTTTATTTGAAAGACAGGGAGAGACCAACCTTCCATCCACTGGTTCACTCCCCAAATGCTCACAAAACAGCCAGAGTTCATTCAGCCAGGCCAATGCCAGGAGCCCAGAAATCCATCTGGATCTCCCACTCGGGTGTCAGGGGCCCAAGTACTTGAGCCATGACCTGCTGCCTCCCAGGGTGCGAATTAGCTGGAAGCTGGATCGGAAGCAGAGGACCAGAACTTGAAACAGGCAGTCTGAGATACAAGCATCCCAAGTGATGTCTTAACCGCTGTGCCAGATCCCTTCCCTGATTTTTTTTCTTTTTAATGAGGATAGTTACCTGCACAACACATCAAGCATCATGATGCTCTGGCGTATATTACATTGCGCTTGTTTAAGCATCTGCCTCAGAAGGGACAAGTTTATGCATTTCCCCGTTCCCGGTATTGAACCCACTCTCAGGCATAGAGTAAGGCACTCGATACATTTAGATAAATAAACGAAATTGCAGTTTGCTCTAAAAGGTTTTCAGAACATGATGATAAATGCTTAAAGTTAATTCAAGTGACCTTAGAATCCTTGGAATTGAAACTAACCGCAGCATGTTGTAACATAATCAAGTGCATTTTAATTTGGCCGAGAAAGAATGTCATAACAGAAGGCTCGAGATCTCTACAAAGTTCTAGAAAAAGGAACTACCAAACTGTGATTTTGAAAGTATCATTCCACCCAGTGTGTGGGACAGGCTGTTCCTCTGATAAAAACAGGCACTTCTTCAGGGTGGAGACAGCTTCCCCAGCTTTCCCAGCCCGAGGAAGGATCCTCATCCACACCACAGCACCTTTCGGTCTGCCAGCTGGCCTCCTGAGGACTCGGCAGCCCCGGGAGGTAGTGTTCCAAAAGAAAACCTAACCTTGATATAAACAAGGTGCTGAAACCAGCCTGCCAGTAGTCGAAAGAACCCCGAGTCCCAGCCCTGCCATACACTGGGTCTGAAGCCTTGAGCAATTTACTCCATCTCTTGGGACTTAGTTTCTGCATCTGCAAATAAGAACGAAACTAACCTCTCAGGGTTATGAACATTAAAATAGTGTGTATGAAGTCCTTGACCAGTACCTATTACCTGGTACATAATATTCTTGCTTCTCACCCATCCCTTGCCCCTGACCACACTTCTCCCACCCCTAGATGTCCCTCTTATGATTGACAAGGGTGTTATTATTATTCTGCACTCCAGCAGGTGCACAGAGGGCCACGGTGTCCATGGTGACCATCTTAATGTACTGATTCCCTCTGGCCTCAGTAGCCAGCAAGCTTTCTTCCTTTTAGTATCATTATTGGCGGTTTCCTGACTTGCCAGAAATTCACCCAGCTGCACTCTGAGTAAAGTGCTTCTCTCACCCACCCCACATCTGCAAGGATCTTTTGCAAACCCTCGCCTTAATTTTTCACTACCCTAGGGAACCATCCTAGGGACTACCTAGGACCCACGTAAGCCAGAGCCTACCGTCTTCCAAAGCAAACACCTTGGACATCAAGGTGCTACAAAGAGGCAGAACTTGCCACAGATCAGTCACTGCACTGTCAACGGTGTCAAGCCATCTTTCCCCTCCCTAAGCTCTCATAAACGCGTGCTACTTCTAGTACCCTTAAAAGGGCCTGCAGTGATGTCTCAAGGGAAGATAAAAGAAGAATCCAAGGGGAAGGAAGACCAAGTTCCCTACCACAAAGCCATATGGATTTGTCCTACAGCATAACTCCACAAAAAATTGATCCTTCCATTTATTCTACCTCTCAAACCCCTTTCTACAACCGGCTTGTTCTTACCTCCCAGGCCTGAAGGGGGAGCAGTTGAGCCCCCGTCCTAGAAAACTGGTAGCGTTCTGCTGGAGGGAGGTTTCTAGAAGCCACAGCTTACCTCCCCACGACCAGGTGCTTGTTCTCCAACTTCATCTCTTTCGCTCACCCCCAGGGCTACACCCCGTTCAAAGGGAATGACTATAAATGGGCATGGGGGAAGCAGCCAGAATGCCAGGGGCTGCGAGCCTGACAGAGCTTGTGTATCAACCTGACAGCTTCAACAGCCCAGAGTCTGCGTGGAATCCCAAACAGCTCTCACTTCTTCCTCTCGGGCCACAGGCCGCCTGCCTGCCTCCCTGGCCTTGTTTAAACAAGTCGAGAGCAGGCTGTGCTTGGACTCAAAGGCCAGTGGCCTTTCCCCGAGGAGGGAGTTCAGGGCAGTGAGACATGGCTGGGCCTGCAACGTGAGCTGCCTTCTTGCTTTTGGGTCTTCCTGTCTTTCAGAAACTGGGGGCTGTAGGAGTTTCACCATCTCAGAGGTGAGAAGTATGTATGCATGGCTGATGCAGCCTGGGTTTGAGCATAGTAACCATGAGAGCTAACACTGGATTGGAAGGCCCCTTGGAGGTCATTAACCTAAGCCTGAGCTTAAATTGGCAGAGGGATGCCACCTGCCAAGGTCAGCACTAGGTAGTTTGGAGAAACGGACATGTAGTGTAAACACATACAGCATGACACAGTGAGTACTCCATACGCAACAGCTATGGCTATCGGTAGCCTTATACATCATCCTTTGAAACAGACTCGGAGGCATCCAATATCAAACTCAAGGTCTTGTAGCCACCAGGTCAGAGGATGAAGCTGGACTGGCTTGACTGCAGAGGTTGTGTGGTAGCCTCCCTTCTGGGCCACATCTTACCATGGTGGCAAGATGACCATGGATGTCAGCTCCAGCTCTGGATACATCACCTCCTCACTCCAGATCACATCCAAGTTGAAATTATTGGCCTCGAAAGATCTTTCCAATCTAACCTGCTGTGACTTTGAGTGGCAGATATCACTGGCAGTTCTCTCTCTCTCTCTTTTTTAAGATTTATTTATTTATTTGAAAGGCAGAATTACCGAGAGAGAGGAGAGAGACAGGGACAGAGAGAGATCTTCCATCCTCTGGTTGACTCCCCACATGGCCACAACCATGTTCAGCTGGAGCTGAAGCCAGGAGCTTCTTCCGGGTCTCCCACATGCATGCAGGGGCCCAAAGACTTGAGCCATCTTCTGCTGCCTTCCCAGGCACACTAACAGGGAGCTGGATCGGAAATAGAGCTGCCGGGACTCAAACCAGCACCCATATGGGATGCTGGCACTGCAGATGGCAGCTTAACCCGCTACACTATAGCATAGGCCCCTAGATGGCAGTTCACACAGAGAACCTACCTCCTTCTCCCTGCCTAAGAGAAAACCATCGCACAGAGCAAAGACTCTCTGAGCTGTATGAGATGCACAGGAAGAGAGTGTGGCCTCTCTTATCAGGCCCAGGGGGAGAGAAAAAAGACCCCCTAGCTCGGAGGCCATCTCCAAAAGCAGGCAGCCCATTCTTAGGTGGGCCGAGAGAAGCCACCCTGCAAGGCAGCAAAGGAAGAGGGACTTGAGAAACTGTCCCTTAGGATCTGAGCTGAAGATGCCTTGTGATTAAAAAGCTGCCACCTTCTTTTGCCCTTCCCCCTTTATCCACTGTCCCTCAATCAACATGTGGTGCTGGAACTTTTCCCCAAGGTGAGCCTAGGGGGAGGGCCCCACGTGGTCAGGGCAGCTCTGTGACATCATAGGCTGAAGCTGGGCCAGGCCACTCCAGCTTCCACCAGAGAGCACCAAGGGGGCAGCCATGCCACCGGCCTTGCCCATTTATCCCAGATCCAGCTGTCGTCATTCCACGGCTTTTCTCTGAAACCTCACCTTTCCCCCCAGAAAGGAAACGGCCGCACTTGTTGGGCCCCGCAGCTGGGAATGAGGCAGGGCTGGTGTCTGAGGGACCTTCGGGGGCTGCTTTTTTCCTTGCCACGCTCAACTACCCTGCCGTGGCCACTGGACAGCTTAGCTGTCCCTGCCGGATAGTCAATAACACCCTCCCACACTATCCTTTTCCTGTGAAAATCCACCTTCTCCAAGAAACCCTCGGGGATTGTATTCAGAACAGAGCTCTGGTTCCCCAAAGGACCAAGTGTCTGTTCCTGCACTTGAACATGAGCTGCTGGCCCCTGCTGGGGAGTATCCTCAGAACACCAGGGCTCTCCGGAGGCAGGTGGGCTCCCAAGGTCCAGGAGGAGGCGCAAAGAGGGGACAGGCGACGATTCTGCTTTGGCTGTGAGGGCCTCCAGGACTCCCAGGGGAAGCTCATCTATGTTTATGTGGACTTAGGATGCTAAGGAGCGTTGTGGAGCCAAGAGCCCTGCTGGGTTTCGTGGGCAGTTGGGCCTGCTCGGAACACAGCCTCCTTTGTCTGCAGAGCTTTCGGTTGGAATTGCAGAACTGGGTTTGGAAGCACAGCTGACACGGAAGCCTGCCCAGGCCTAGCAGAATCACAGTGGGGTCAGGGAGACAGCTCAGCTTCCACCCTGTCTCTTCAAGCAAGACACTGAAGCCTAGGTTTGGCTGAGGGCATTGTGTCCATCTTCCCGTCTCCAAGAAGGACAGTGTCCAGCCCGCCTGAGATGGGGCAGCTTGGACTTTTAAGGCTCGCCTCTACCCTGGTCATTCATTCATCCACGCCAGTGACAGCAGTCTGGGGACGTTCCTTCTTTTGGCAAATGGAAGCCCATGGTGCTGCACACCAAACCTCCTTTCTGGTGCTGCTCAGAGGCCCTGGGAGGAGCACACAGTCATCTTACAAAGCCCATCTGCTTGGAGTTAGTGCTCCCTGCCACCTCCTCTGCTCCAGCCCAGTCTCCGGTTTCTCTCTGTCATTGGGCAATGACTCCGAGCAGACCAAGATGCGTGTGTCTCAGACTTCTCATACTCACACGGCCCCGTGGGGGGAGACATGCAAACACGCTTATCACAACAAATCATGACACCTGCAAAAACAGAGCCGGGAGCGAAGTCTTCCGGGAACAGAGCAATTAGCAACCGGCTGTGCTCAGGACTGGCGGGTAAAGTTTCCGGGAGGGCTTGGCCTCTGAGTGTGGCCTTGAAGGCCGAGTAAGCATTTTCCAGGTCCAGGGAGAGAACGGGTGTTCTGAGTAGAGGAAAGAACACACAGGAAGACCAGAAGATCTGAAGGGTCTGGCCTGTATGGGGACAGCAAGTCAGGGTAAGGAGCTGAAATGCTGCCTCCGAGTTTGGAGACAAGTAGCGTTGGGCTGCGTGAAGCCGGGGGACCAGCCGGATGGCTTAGAGTGGGGAGGAGGCCACCCTGGGGAAAGAGGTGGGCCCGGAGGAGGGGGGCAGTTGCGAGGCTGCTTGACTAATTCTAGCGAAAGGAAAAGCTGAGTGGCACTTGGACACTTGGCAACTTTTAAAGTAACAATTTAAAAATAAACGTTACACCTGCTTATTATACAAAGTGTGGAAAATAAGAACAAAAACAAAAAAGAAAGCAGCAGTCACTGGTAAGCACTTTCAACATTTGGGTGCACATCTCCTTCCCATCTTTTCCCCTTGCATTTAGACAAGGGGTCTCTTACAGAGTTCTTGGGAAGTACTTTTTTTTTATTTGGCAGGTAGAGTTATAGACAGTGAGAGAGAGAGAGAGGTCTTCCTTCCGTTGGTTCACCCCCGCAATGGCCGCTACGGACAGCGCTGCACCGATCCAAAGCCAGGAGCTTCTTTCTGGTCTCCCACGTGGGTGCAGGTGCCCAAGCACCTGGGCCATCCTCCACTGCCTTCCTGGGCCACAGTATAGAGCTGGACTGGAAGAGGAACAACCGGGACTAGAACCCAGCACCCATATGGGATGCCGGCGCCGCAGGTGAAGGATTATCCAAGTGAGCCACGGCGCCGGCTGGGAAGTACATTTTTAAAAAAGGAAAGGCAAAGTGGCAGAGAGAGAGAGAGAGAGAGAGAGGTCTTCCATCTGCAGGTTCACTCCCCAAATGGCCACAGCTGCCAGGAGCCTAGAACTCCCTCTAGATCTCCCATGTGGGTAGCAGGGACTCAAGCACTTGGGTCGTCTTCTGCTGCCTTCCCAGGTGCATTAGCAAGGAACTGGATCTGAAACAGAGCAGCTGGGACTCAAAGCAGCTTTGCAATATAGGATGTCTGCATCGCAGATGGCGGCTTAACCTGCTACGCCACCACGCCGGCCCAGGGAAGTGTGTATTATGAAAAATCAGGCATGCAGTTCAAAAATTTTTTGCACTATAAACTTTTCATTTTTTAGATTTATTTATATATTTGAAAGGTAGAAGTAGAGAGAGAGAGAGAGAAGGAGAGACAGATCTTCCATCTGCTGGTTCACTCCCAAATGGACGAAAGGGCTGGAGTTGGAGTAGATGTAGAAGCCAGGAGCCAGGAGCTTCTTCCTGATCTCCTATGTGAGTGCAAGGGCCCAAGGACTTGGGTCATTCTCCACTACTTTCCCAGGCACACTAGCAGGGAGCTGGATTGGAAGTGAAGCAGCCAAGGCTCGAACCAGAGCCCATACAGGATGCTGGCACTGCAGGCCGTGGCTTTAACCACAGCATGGGCCACAGCGTCGGCCCCCATACATTCATTGTTTTATTCCAGTTTCCACAAACTTTCTGAAGTACTGCATATGCAGTTCTGAAGTCATTTTATAACTCAGCATTGTATCATATGCATTGATCCAAGTCATAAAAATTCTCTGTGATCTGTTAAACTAGCTGCCTTCTATTCAATTGTATGAATTCATGAGACATAATTTACTCAGCCACTGTCCTATTTTTGGGACATTTCATTTGTGCCAGTGGTTTTGCTTTTTTTTTTCAGTAAGCATTTTTGTAAAGAAACTTTTGTATACTCTATTTGATTATGCCCCTCCCGTAAGTTCCTAACAATGGAATAACTGGGCCGAGGCTATGATGTTTTTAAAATTCCTGAAGCAGACTTTTCAAAAGCCTTGTGCTTTTTTGCAGGGCACTGATACCGCAGGCGCGTTCCTGGAGGCCCCTTCTGTAAGGTCTATGCTACTATCTCCCTCTCCACCTTTGTGCCTCCCACCTTTTCAGGTGCGTGAGATGCATACCTGACACCCCTGAGACAGACCACGAGCCGCGGCCTCCTCCTGCCACTGTCCGACAGCCTCTTTTCTCAGACTTGCCCAGAAATAATTACCCAGGAGAGCAGCTGGAGTTTGTTTCAGCCTCTTTTTGAAAAAAACCCACTTCTGAAACAGGGTACTAGGTGGGATCCCACGGGGAGCTACGGGTCCCTGGGCTGGGGGCCAATCAGTGCCAGTCGCAGCGCTGGTATCAGAGCGCGGGCCATTATCTGTGACACGGGCCTGCTTTCCTGTGGTCAGATGCGCGGCACAGGCTGCCCTGATCCTATCCCGTCAGACCATAAAGCCGCTCCTATATGTCAGGCATGGCCCCCTGTGGACGCATGCATGGGCACATGTAGCCGTGGCCTGCCAGTCCTTTTGTACGTGCCAGATGGAAATCTGGACTCAGTAACACCCGCGAGTGCCTGCACAGCGCCTGGCTCCTTACAGGGCATTTTAATGTGCATGAGCTCCTCTTGAGAGTGATTCGAAAGAGAAAAGAGCAAGCAAGTGGCAAGAAGCTGGGTGCACTTTGTGCCTTGGCCAAGTGTCTTAACCCCCAGCGGCCTCTTCCCCCTCTGCACAATGGGAGAAGGAAACTCAGTGACCCCCCACCCCACCCCGAGCTCACAGAGCTGCTAAATCATGGCTCTATCCAGGACTGGCCAGCCCCCACGTTTAAACCTGGATCTAGGAACCCGAGCTTCCAGGAACGTATGCTTTCCCCCTGATGCGGAGGTCCGGACGCTGTTCTTCAGAGCAAGATCTTTCTGCTACAGGTTCTGCATCATCTTTCCCTCCACATCTAGCTTTTTAGCCATAGGAAGTAGTTGAAAAAATACTGCCATATCCTATGTGTAATAGGGAATTCCAATTGTTTCCTTCTTCCCTATTGCAGGAAAACAGGACTGTTGACAGAAAGGGACGACACAGACAGAGATCATCTGGACTAGCCCCCATTCTCTCCCGAATCCGGCTCGTTTCCATCAGCACGCTAAAGCGCTGTCTCCCAGAATATGAATATTTCACGTCTAGCCCTGACATTGGGTCTCCTTGAGCTGTTGTGTTAAGCGTTGGAAAAACAAATAGCAGCGCCTCCCACGTGCTGCCTCCTTCTTCCTCTGGAAGATGTGTCTGGTCTCCGAGGAGACTTTGTGCGATGGATGACCTTGCTGGCTTAGCCATCCAGAGGCAGCCACCGACAAGCCTTTATAGTCTCTGAGTGTTTAAGACCCCATGAATTTTCTTTAATCTAGAAATTAGGAAGCATTTGGGATCTTTCTTCATGGATTTTGAGGGTTATTTAATTTATACCTTGTTGCTCAGCCCTCCACACCCCGGGCGTCAGCCATCTGGTTTGTGTTCATTGTGAGACAGGATACTGGATGTGCAGTTTTTGCTAGTGCAGGCCGGGAATGGGCGTGGGGGAAGGGCTATATATTGCAAAAGTGTAGCTTCTGCTTTGTCTTTGTGCCCCCAAAATGTACCTGGAGGCATTTTAGCTTCGGCTGGATTATGATTTACTTGGGACATTGCATCTGTCGACAAAAGCCGCAAGCTTCCTAGTTTCGGTGCCAACCGGAAACAGAACTCAGTGGATCTCAGACATCAAAGAAAACTTCAGAGGAAGATGTTGTCATCTGGACCCTGCTTCCAGGAGCTTATGCTGAAGGATCACTTCCCGGCCTCCGCTTCAGGTGGAAAATTTAAGGTCCATAGACGTTTTGGCTCATGGAGCGCCGAGTTATCTCAAGAAATCTTCCATATCTAGCGATTTCTGAACGCTCAGGTATAAATCTGCGCCACCGGTCCATGATAAAATTTTCATAGCTTCACAGGCAACGAAGAAAAAGCACAGAGGATGCAATACGCACGTGCGTAAACTGAGGTAGCAGTAGTAAAATATTTAGGATGGTGCTGGGCGTGTAGTTACCACTCCGTAAATGCCAGCTGCTGTGAACAGAGAGCACTCCGTGCAGGGTTGCTAACTGGTCCTTTTGCTACTGAAATGTCATTTCTTTTTACACATAATTTTAACAGTGAGTCTATAGTTTATAGTTTTGTAAGTTCATGTAGTCAGCAATATTTTGAAAACAGGCTTCTGATTTGGTGCCCAAATTTATTTTTGAAGTGTTTCTGGGGCCAGCACTGCGGTGTAGCAGGTAAACCTGCCGCCTGCAGTGCCGGCTTCCCATATGGGTGCCGGTTCGAGTCCCAGCTGCTCCACTTCCAATCCAGCTCTCTGCTATGGCCTGGGAAAGCAGAGGAAGATGGCCCAAGTCCTTGGGCCCCTGCACCCACGTGGGAGACCTGGAAGAAGCTTCTGGCTCCTGGCTTCAAATCGGCACAGCTCTGGCTGTTGCAGCCAACTGGGGAGTGAACCAGTGGATGGAAGACCTCTCTCTCTCTCTCTCTCTCTCTCTCTGCCTCTTCTTCTCTCTCTATGTAATTCTGCCTTTCAAAAAATAAATAAATAACCTTAAAAAAAACACAAATGTTTCTGGCCCCTGAAATCGTAATGTCTGAGAAAAAGTCATCTAGCAGGTCTATACTTCAAATAAAATTTTGTCTGATCTATAGGTAGATCCTTTTCTGAGTGCCCTAAGGAGCCATTCGGGCCTTTCCACATCTGTCCACAGGAACAGGTAATTCTGGAAGGGGAACAGTAGGCGGGCGGCTTGCAGGGGCCACTGCTCTCAAGACTTCCTGCCGGGCTTGACGCTGATCCCATGGGAGCCTGGATGTGGAGCTCCCTGCTCCTCCTGCTCAGAGCTCTCCCCTCCCTGGCTCATTAGCAGCTGTAGGGGCTGTGGAAAGCAGGAGCTATATCTCCCTCCACTAGCAGCCCCTCCAGCGACAGTCAAGCTGCACCTTTGCTGAGAATAAGAGTGTGCGTGAAGAAGACAGCGTATGCATCTCCCTGGCTCTATTTATACCGTACACGCGAGACACCAGTTGGGGTGTCAAGCCCTGAACCTTTGTGCGTGCCGCATGGTGTAAGAGACACCAGGGTGATGCTGTGCTCCACTGAGCCCTATCCTGAAATGTACCGCAATATGGATTTTTCAGTCATTCATTTATTCCATAAGGACCCAGAAAGTACTCTGTGTTAGGTGCTGCCATGGCTGCACAGAAGAATCAGGTCAGGGTCACACTTGCCCAGAGCTTACAGTATTAGAAAAAGGAGGGACGGGCCAGCGCTGTGGCGTAGCGGGTAAAGCTGCAACCTGTAGTGCCGGCATCCCATGTGGGCCGGTTCTAGTCCTGGCTGCTCCACTTCCCATCCTGCTCTCTGCTATGGCCTGGGAAAGCAGTAGAAGATGGCCCAAGTGCTTGGGCCCCTACACCCATGTGGGAAGACCTGGAAGATGCTCGTGGCTCCTGGCTTCGGATTGGCCCAGCTCCAGCCATTGCAGCCATTTGGGAAGTGAACCAGAAGATGGAAGACTTCTCTCTCTGCCTTTGCCTCTGCCTCTCTGTAACTCTGCCATTCAAATAAATAAATAAATCTTGAAAGGAAGGAAGGAAGGAAGAAAGAAAGAGGGGGGCCGGCGCTGTGGCGCAACAGGTAAATGCCCTGTCCAGAAGCGCCAGCAACCCATATGGGCACCGGTTAGAGACCCGGCTGCTCCACTTCCGATCCAGCTCTCTGCTAATGGCCTGGAGAAAGCACCAGAAGATGGCCCAAGTATCTGAGCCTCTGCCAGGCACATGGGAGATCCAGATGAAGTTCCCGGCTCCTGCTCTAACCTGGCCCAGCCCCTGTAGTTGCGGCCATCTGGGGAATGAACCAGCAAATGGAAGGTATCTCCATCTCTCTGTCTTTCCCTCACCCTCTGTAATTCTGACTTTCAAATAAATAGAAGAGTCTTTTTAAAAAAATCCATCCTTTCTGGATTTATGACATAGATTAGCATTCTTTCAAAAGTTCATGAAGAAATGCAATTAAAAGATGAGTTTCTTTACATGTAAAAAAATGTTGAAACCCAGGGAGATTTTTCATGAATTTTTTGAAAACTCCACATATTTAAACTATCTTGCTTATGATGATGATTTCATTGCTATTGACGCATACCAAAGCTGCTAATTAAATACCACAAACGTGCAGTTTAGTGTATGTCAATCCTATTTCTGTAAAGCTGTGTTTTGTTTTTTTTTTTTTTTTTTTGGCAAAGACCCTCCACAGAGCATGCCTGGATAACTGAGGCCTTACTCTCCTGTGCAGATTCAGCCCCCTGAAGAGCCTCTTTCACGCTAAGCTGTTCCGGGGGGGATGCCAACAGTGCACAGAGATGACCCAAGTGGGAGGACATCCAAGTCCTCATTCACTTCTCACTGTCTTCATTCCATGCCTTCACCCAGCACTTTTTCGTTTTCACAGTCACAGAGACACAGGCTCAGTCCCAGCTCTGTCACTTACTAATTGAGTGCCCCTGGACAAATTGCATCTCTGAGTTTTAGCAATTTGCTCATCTATAAAATGGAGTTATTTTCGGTCTGTGATGGATATGAACTTGGTCTACGGATGGGGTGCCTGGCCCATGCCGTGACCGCCAGGGATGACGGTGAGTACTATTATGATGACAACTGAGAAGGATAAAGGAGACAGGGCTGTTGAGTTTGTTGATGAGAAGAGCAGAAAGGGACACAACATGAAACAGCTTCCTTTCACTGTTTAAAGGGCTTTGGGCCACAAGCAGGGTGCGTGGCTCTGATGAGGCAGAAGGGCGACTGCCTCTGAAGCTTCCTGGCTCTCTGTCGTTGGGCAAGTAAATGACGCCCTGGAATCTCAGTTTCCACATCTGTAAAATGGGCGCTGAGGCTATGTCCATGAGGCTGTGACTGTGGGACAGGAAGTGGCACCTCCGTGAAAGCGTCTAGCACAGTGCCTGTCCCAGGTCAGTAAGGCAGCTGTGGCCGTGAGTAATCTTTGTGGCCCCCGTTTGCAGCAGTTTGCAGGAGAGGAGACTCCAGCTCAAAGCACAAAGTCATTGCTCTCTTAGAGTGGAAAGGGCTCTCTGCAAGTGCTGAGCTCCTGTGGTTTGCTCAAAGGGAGGATGGATGCGCTCCTTCCAGAAGGGCTGTCTGTTGGCTGGAAGGAGGACAGATCTGTAAATGTTTTCCATGTCTACCTCTAATCTTCCGTATCAGGAAGAAACAAAGGAAAAAACCAGGGACGGGTGGAGGAGGGCAGAGGTGCACAAGCGAGCTGTGTTCCCTGCAGCAACGGTGATGTCAGGCCCGCGGCCGGAGGGAAGGCAGCGAGCCTGAGCAAAGGCGCTTTCTCCCCGGGAGGCAGAGAGAGGTAAAGCTACAGGTCATACGCACAGAGGCTGAGCCCTCGTGCTTGGGGGGGACTGGGAGTTCTGGGAAAACCCGTCCTGCTCTGTAATGGAAAGGCCGGGCAACAACCACGTATCTGGCAAGGATCAGCAGGGGCCACAGGCCCTTGTCACAAGCCCGCCTTGCAATCTCTAACGCACGTGCATACGTTCCTGTCGGTGGTCTTTGAAGACGATGTATGTCTTGAAATCCTTGGGCTTATTGACGTGTTCACAGAGCTCTGGGCAGGGAGCCAAGGCCCTGAGCTGGAGTCCCAACTCTGCCATTAACTAGCTATAAAATTTAAGGAAAAATCTCCTAAGCTCTCAGTGCCTTAGTTTCTCTCCTTTCCTCCTCCCTCTCTTCCTCCCAGAGAGGTGTATACTCCACAGAGCAGCAGCACTGGCTGTTAACTTATTGGAAATGCAGGATCTCAGGCCCCACTTACTAAATCAGAACTTGCATTTGAACAAGATCTCTAGGCCGGCGCCGCAGCTCACTAGGCTAATCCTCCGCCTGTGGCGCCGGCATACCGGGTTCTAGTCCCAGTTGGGGCGCCGGTTCTGTCCCGGTTGCCCCTCTTCCAGGCCAGCTCTCTGCTGTGGCCCGGGAGTGCAGTGGAGGATGGCCCAAGTGCTTGGGCCCTGCACCCGCATGGGAGACGAGGAGAAGCACCTGGCCCCTGGCTTCAGATTGGCACAGTGCGCCAGCCGTAGCGGCCATTTGGGGAATGAACCAACGGAAGGAAGACCTTTCCCTCTGTCTCTTTTTCTCACTGTCTAACTCTGCCTGTTAAAAAATAAAAAAAAAATTAAAATAAAAAATAAAATTTAAAAAAAGATCCCCAGGTAAATCGTAATGCTCTGAGAAGCACTGGCTTAGCTGATGTGAGTAGCAGACAAATGTATGGCAGCAGCTCCAACATCAGACTTCACTACTTACAGGCTGTGTAACCTCAGCAAGACCTCAACCTGTAACACTCAGGGTCTTTGTCATTGGAATCTTCATAGTACCAACTGGGCACAGTTACCATGAGGATGAAATGAAATAATGTTGATTAAGAGTTTTACACAGGGGCCGGCGCTGTGGTGTAGTATAGGCTAAGCCTCCTGCAGTGCCAGCAGCCTATATGGGCTCAGGTTCAAGTCCCGGCTGCTCCACTTCCGATCCAGCTCCCTGCTATGACCTGGGAAAGCAGTGGAAGATGGCCCAAGTCCTTGGGGCCCTGCACCCATGTGGGAGACCTGGAGGAAGCTCCTGGCTCCTGGCTTCGGAATGGCCCAGCGCCAGCCTTTGTGGCTATTTGGAGAGCGAACCAGCAGATGGAAGACCTCTCTGTCTCTCTGTTTGTAACTCTGCCTCTCAAATGAATGAATGAATGAATAAATAAATATATTTTTAAAAAGTTTTACACATAAAGAATCATGAAAAGCTTTTGGTCCATATCTAAAATTTCTCTGTCATTATGTACACTAAACAGAAAAAAGTGTAAGACTTTTTCATCACACAGTTATTGAGTTCTGTGTCAGGCACTTTCTAAGCTGAGGATATAGAAGTGAATGATACAAAGTCTAGGCTGTCACAGAGACAGACAAAAGCCAACTCCATTGCTATAGACGAAATGTCCTCCTCACCCCCTGAGGTACATCTGTTGGAATCCTGACCCCCAACATGTGTGCGATGGCATTTGGGGCAAGGACTCTGGGAGGTGATTAGTGGAGCCCTCATGAGTGAGGTTAGTGCCCTCACATGAGACCCCAGGAAGCTCTCCAGCCTCCCCCCATACGAAGCCACAGCGAGACCACTGTAAGCCATACCCTGAATCTGCCAGCACCTTGGGCTTGGACTTCTTAGGCTCCAGGGTAGTAAGAAACAAATTTCTGTTGTTTATAAACCACCCGGTTGATAGTAGTTTATTACGGCAGCCAAGTGAGTAAAACAGAAAAGGGACTTATAAAAGGAGGGTGAGTGTGGGGAGAATTGCCCTGGGTTAAGTGACGGAGGCTGTTGGACTGGGGAGGAGGTTCAGGGGAGGTCTCAGGGAGGCAGTGTTTACACTGGAACCTGAAAGGCAGGAGCCAGCCCTGCAGCGAGCTAGAGACAGGGCATT